GCTTGGGAATTTACTTATTAAATCACACTTATAACTAAAAGGCACAAAGAGAGTCTTGAAGAATGATGGATTGCAAAGTTGACCCACATTGTTCTTCAGGCATATTCACATGATTTTATTCCAATAAGCAGTTTTGCTTAGGATGTTTCATTATTGCAGCTAAACCCTGCACTTTCCTTTTCTACCCAGGGAACAAATTTCTTCAGAATAGTCTCTTTTACACCTAGAAGTCATGACAGTTTTTTGGGGGCAAAAAAACCTGTGTGGGTGCTGAATAATGTTTCCTTTTCCTTTCTGGTCCCCTCCAATGTTCCTTTCTGTGCTGTCTTTAGGCAATATCTGAACTAGCTCTGCTGTGCCTGGCCCATGTTCACCAGCACTTAAGTACAGAACAAAAACAATCGTATCTCACCTGTGTCCATCTTTGCACATGTTTCTCAGCAGACTAACAGAAATTGAAAGCCCAGAACTTTCAAGAAGCAAGAACTGGTTGTTAGACTGGACAGACTAGAGCCATTAATTCATTTTTATGAGACTGTAAGTGTAGGTATAGCATATTTCCGATGGAACTTAATTGTAACTGTTATTTTTAAATGAGAAATTTAATATTTTATTGATGATTTAAAAGAAATTAAAAATCTGCTTTAAATTTTTTTAAAAATCAGATTTTTAATGTTTTTTTTTAAATCCTTGATTTTTATCTACCCTGTCATTAACAGCCATTGCTCTCCTGGGGAGACCAAGGCACAGGAAGGGCATATGTTTTGCCAAATTTCATGCAGCATTTCAGTGACACAGCTGGCAATAGAACCCAGGTGTCTTGTTACAACTGGGTATTCTGACTCTGTCCTGTATTATAACTACAAAACCTTAATTCTTTTCACCCAGACTCTGGAGGCTAGACATTTATTTCACCCAGGCTGCATCTGGCTGGGACGGGGGAGGGAGCCCTGTTTACTCAGAACTGGTTCAGGTTGAAGCTGCAGTTTGCATTCAGACTGCCTGATTCACCATCCAGAAATAGCCCTGTGTGGTGCGGGTGGAGAGCCATGCAATTCTCAAGCCTGGGGCTGTAGTCTATGTAATTAGTCTATCTCTGACTCGTAGCCAATCACGTGTTTCCCACAGGGCAGTGGTTTGGCATACTTCATAGGGTGGTGCTGAACCCAGGTAGTTAAGAGGGAGAAGGTGAATTGCCTCCTGCAGGAACTCTGACCGGGACCATGAAAGTGGGGCGTGATTCCTCTGTGAGTATGTGGAATCGGGGGTGGGGTGGGGGCTAGCAGGAGCAGAGTGCTGAATCCCTCTGAGCCATGGGGAGCACTTCCTTTGCAGAGGCTGCAGTTCACCCTCTGTCTCTAGCTGGATCAGTGCAGGTTGGAAAGCCTGCTACAAGGCTCTTTGTGCACTACTACCACTGTCGTTCTTTTGTTCCCCTCCTTTTTGTTGCTGTGTCCAGACCTTTGCCCTGTTCTCTTTCCACACTCTGCCTGGGCTGGGAACATATCTGGGGCAGAGTGGATGCTTGTGCAGCCTGCCCTTGAGCCTGTGGTCGTCCAAAACTAAGTTCATTTTGCTCTGGGGCCTGATTGTCAGCCATTGTTCAAGCTAAGCCCAGGATTGGGATAGCGGAGGGGGGGCTGAAGGTTTGGAGTGAGGGCACTGACAGAGCTGTGGGAGGGGGTCGTCTTTGTCCCTCTGGTGCTGTGTGGTATATTCTGCTGTACAATCAGTTCCATATTTTTATCCCTTTCCCAAGAAAAAATCTGGCAAGACCCAGTATCTGCCATCTGGGTTCCTCGGAGACTTCATCTAAACTTGCAGAGTGGTTTAACTGTTGGCAGCATCCTTTGTGGCATTGGCCCCTATCTCTGTGGGTCCATCAGGCCACTGGCTTCCCAGAGCAGTTGAAATTGGCTGTCACACTGAGCTGGGTAGGGTTGTGAGTATGTGTCCACATTTGTGTATGCACACACAGAGTTATTCTTGCTTCTTTAGCAATCTTGCCACTGAGTCACAGGACAGCACTGGCATCTGCAAAGCAAGTGGTCACTCATGAGCCAGGGCAGGTGATGGGAGCAGCCTGTTGGGAAGGAGGAGAGCCTGAAACCTTTTGGAATAAATTCCTAGCTTTTATGTCCAAGGCTGGATTACCCCCTGAGGACAGCTACCTCAGACACTTTAAACTCCTGAACTTTGGGCAAGAGCAACGGAGCGACTTACATCTGAAGTCTGGACTATCCTGAGTCCATCCGTACTCTGTGGGTGACAGTCCATTGGTGTTTAGGAATTCCTTGGGATGGAAAGCAGCATTCTGCAGCTGGCTGGAAGATTTCAGCAAAGGGATTTGGAGTGGGAGGCCTTAGGGAGTGGTAAAAAGGGATTTCAGGAACCAGTGGGAGGGATGGGCCTGCATGGGAAAATACCTCAAGGAATAGTCTAGTACTCTGCATACCAGACAAGCGCTGTGTGGCTAGCAGTTCCTTGCAGTGTATCAGTGGTGGTTACAGCAGGGCACTCAAAACCTGGAGTTCTGGGATCATCTCCCAGATCCTCTGTGGACGTGGTGTGTGGCCAGGTTAACCTATATAGGTTAACAAAGGATCCCAACAAACCCTTCCTCCTCCCCCGTCTTCCTGTACAGTGGAGTGAGTCACAGCACTTTACTGTGGCCCAAAGCCAGGAGCGGAAGTGAGCAACATCTGGCAGAAGGCATGTGGGGGAGGGGCACCAGAATGTGCTGGGCCAGGTTGTGTTGTGTGCACACTATGTAATCAATGAGCCAGAACGGCCACTCATTCACCCAGGTAAATCCGGGGAGCTCTGCAGGCTTTTAGATAGATACACATGCCCTGTCACTCCCAGGAGTTTGTTAATGAATGAGAACGAAGTCCTTCTGCTCCAAATGGGGATTTGAGAGGCCTTGGAGAGGCACAGTCCTGTCCCCATGATCTGCAGGGGGTTGAACTCTTCACTGCGATTAGGAAATGACAGGTCTATTTTATCCCTGTACTGCTCCTTTGGGGGAGGGGATTGTTTGCCTTTTGTAAATAGGGGGTGCAACCTGGGGTGGAAGTTACAGCAGTGTACTAGAGCATGAGACCTTGGTGGTGACCTTGGATCGTGAACACTGCAAGGAGAGGTGGGGAAGGGGATAGGTCCATGCATTCAGCTCCCTGGGTGACTAGTATTGTAGATAAATCCCTGCTATGTGGATATGACTGTCCTGAGAACATCCCCTTAATATACAGCACTGGCTTCACCTTAGTTTCCTGCCCAGATGGGAAGCAGGGCCTTGCCGGACTCTGGGGATCAGATCATGGGAGAGAGGGTGCTTCTGTGGCTGGAAGAGAGAACAAAAGTCATAGAGGGATCTGGCAGATGTAGACCCTTCCTCTGGTTGTTGCAGAAGCAGCTGCTACAGAAGCAGTGAGATGCTGGGTCTGGGTTGATTTGTTGGGAGAGGTTCAAAGAGGACAAGACATTCGTTGGAGTGCCATTGTTTTCCATTTTCCTCTTCCCAAGTATTCTGGACCATCTAGATGGACTCCATTGAAAGTAGTGTAGGCTGCTTCTGTATCTCTTTCAGTCCACTCCAGGGCATGGCAGGCTAGCTCCACACCCATCCAGTGGAGAGGACGATTCTGGGTGCCTCTCTGTGGGTTATGTGGAGCTGTGCTGCTGAGCTGTTTCAGTGGCCAGGGATGAAGCTCAGATGGAGCTTCACAATTCATGAAAAATCTCCAGGTGCCCTTTTGGTCAGCAATGCCTTGATACAAATCCAACTCCAGGGGGAAGTCCTGCTCTTGAATCAGGTCTTGGCACCAATAGGCGGTTGTCTCAGGCCTGTGATTCAATTAAAGAAGTGCTTTGTAGTGTTGTTTTAGCTTTAAGCCAAACTTAGTTCAGTTTAACTTGAGTTACTTAGGAATCAGTTTAAGCTAAACTGCAGTCGGAGCATCCATACACTGGCCTGCTTCAGTTCATCTAAAAACAACTTAAGCTAAGAAAGAGCTACTTTCTCATATATGCCCACCCTCTACCCCGGGGCAGGCTGGATCTGGCCCACCACGCCTTTGGATCTGGCCCATGGCCTGCCGGGACCCTCAGACAGGCTCCCTGCCTGCTGGAGCTCCAGGCTACTCAAAGCAGTCAGCTGCTGAGGCTATGTGTTTCTAGGCACCAGACCGCCCTCGTGGGCAAGAAGGGGATGGTATACTCTGGAATGAGCTTCCCTGCATTATCTAGCTCACTGCCATGTGGTCCAGGCCCAGTCATGTGCACTAGCAAGTTAATTGGGAGAGATGAATGTAGGTGGTATCTGGGCACGTTATTGGAAGAGCTGCGTCATGGCTTGGTGACTTGGTCCAAAGAGGTCCTCCCCTCCCTCCTACTGTTTCCCCTGCCCCTCCAGCACTCAGTCCCATATGCCAGACCCCAATATGTATGAAGGTCTGCTGGGAATTAGTGGGTGGGAGGATGAGAGGCCAACCTGATCCATCTCCTCCATTCCCTGTATATTAACTGTGACTGCTGCTGTCACACCTGCAGGCAGGGACCTGTGCTAGGAGATGAGACTGAAGTCAAACCCCCAGGCTCTTAGTGCGGAACAGAGCAAGACTAAGCAAAGGCTTGTCACTCGGCCTGCCTGCTCCCCACAGGGTTCCTGGTCCTATTCAGCATGCTGCCCCAAGCTGATGGGGTAAGACTGGTGATGGAAAAGCTGTGTGTTCATCAAATACTGGGGAGAACAAGGCCAGTGCACTGGGGAGTGAAGGGTTGAGGCAGATCAGTGTTTTAGTCCAATATAAGTGTCACTTCAAGGAGTTGGAGTCACAGGAGGATGCAGGGGTGGCATGCAAGAGGGGAACGCCCTGAACACTAGGGCTTCGGTTCATATGCCTCACAGTTCCTGCATGCATGGCCCCCACATAACTGTGTGAGGATCCATCCTAGCAGGTACCTCATCGATACCTTCCTCCCCCCCAATCTCTGTCCAGGAGCGCCAGCGCCTGGAGACCATCCTGAGCCTGTGTGCAGAATACACCAGAACTGATGGCACCACAGACACAGGCAACTTGCACCAGCACTTCCCGAGTGACGGAGATGCCACCACCATACTGACAGGCAGGAGGCATTCGAAGGGCTCAACCAGCCTGTCTGCCTTGGGCCTTGGCAAGGCCATAGAGGAGACTGGAGAGTCCACAGGGACCGAGCAGAGGGTGAGCCTGGAGAAATCTGAGGAGGAAAATCTGAAGGAGGAATGTAGCAGCACAGAGAGCACGCACCATGAGGTGAGGGGAGGCAGGGCTCACTGCGTGGAGAGCACCCACCATGAGGGGTGGGCAGTGAGGTCCTCCTCAGCATAGACAGAAGCATCCACCATACGATGCTGTGGGTCCCCCACCCTGCACACAACATGCACCACAAGGTGAGTGGGGACGATGCCCACAGCATAGAGCACCAGTCCTGAGGTGAGAGGGAGGATAGGCAGAACATGTCTCGCAGGGCACCCTGCTGTTGCTGCTGCACTCAAATATGCTTATGACCCACGCTGGGCATGGGCAGTGGTGAGCTTCTGGGTATGTCAACGTCTGAGACTGCAAAGCTAACTTTATGGCCAGCAGAATGCCTGGGTGCACTGATGCAAGCACTGTGTGGATGTGCATGCTCCTTCACTTCAGCCCCATCTTGGCTGTATGTTGGAGGCCTGTCTTGGATGGGCTGATGGGTTGGGAGTGGCTGTGAGCGCTGGGGCAGGACCCTCTTCTTGCTGAAGTGATGTGTGCTCCCTACCCTGCGAAGAGCAAATAAGCAGTCACTCAGGGATGTTGCTTTTTCTCCCAAGCAGCATGAGGACTTGACAGGCTCCAAGAGCAAGGAGGCCATCCAGTTGGAGGAGGAGTGGGTGCGGGTGCTAAGCCGCGTGGATGAGCTCAAGAGCCATGTCAAGGAGCTGGAGCAGCAGCTCCAGGAGTCATCCCATGAGGTGGGAGGAAACCCTTTCTACTGTTCCTGTTGTGGGGGAAAGGGGCAAGACATCCATGGGGGCCAAGATGCAGCCCTGCATTGGACTGAGGTGGGGGGCCCTGGTGGCAGATTAATGGTGGAGCAGTGCTGGAGTGAGTGATTGATTATCCCAGCATCCCGAGCCTCACTTCTCTGGAGCTCTGTGGGGCTCTGCTCTTAGAAAGCTTTGGCAAGGCTCCACTTTCCTTTGACAGGAAGGCAGGGAAGGACCCAGACCAGAGCCTTAAATATGACCCCTTTGAAGTTTTTTTGGTTTATTTTGGGCAAGAAGAGTGGTGGGTCAGAACTAACCCTGACCACTTAGGCCTGGCCCTGATTTGAGGCTGGATGGGGCCTGTCTCTGCTTCCTGTGTTTGATGGAGCAGAGATATGATGGGGAGAGCATGTTAGGTCTGAGAACCATTGAACCTTCGCCTTGGGTCTCAGCCCTGACCTCCATCTGGGCCTGACCCCAAACCAGTTACTCTCCTTGTCCCATCTCTGCCAGCAGAGCCACATCCCACCCAGGCATTGCTATGTCTTTGGGGAGCCCTGAAGTGTGATTGGAAGGTGAGGGCTAGCTGTAACATGGCTGTGTTCGCCTAGGCGGAGATGGAGCAGGCTCTTCTGCAGGGGGAGCAGGAGTCAGAAATGATACAGCTGCAGCAGGAACAGAAGATCGTGCAACAGCTACAAGAGAAACTCTGCAAGCTGGATTCCAGTATCCAGAAGGAGCGGGACAAGGTAAATCCCAAAACTGAGGGTTCCCGTTGGTGCCTTGGAGCAATGGGTGCAGGATGCTCCCCCAGAATCCCAGGAGGCTGCTCAATCCCAGGTCCCCTTCCTGCTGGAGAGTGTTGTTCCTGTGCACTATGGCTGGCTCCAATTCTAAAGAAACTCATCTGGTCACCGGCTGCTCTTGCAGGACAATGTCATGGGCTGTGTGCACTGCACACGTGGGCTATCCATCCCCAAGAAAGCCTGTGTCATTTGTCTTTGGGCTCTCCTTCTCAGAGGGTTTGCTGTCACCTCTTGCATGGGTATCTAAAGTAGGTATGTTAGGGTATGTCTGTACTACCATCCTAGTTTGAACTAGGGTGGTTAATGTAGGCAACCAAAGTTGCAAATGAAGCCCAGGATTTAAATATCCCGGGCTTCATTTGCATCTTGCCGGGCGCCGCCATTTTTAAAGCCCCGGTAGTTCGGACTCCGTGCCCACATCTACACGCGGCACGGAGTAGGTAGTTCGGATTAGGCTCTCTAATCCAAACTACTGGTACTCCTCATGGAACGAGGTGTACCGGTAGTTCGGATTAGAGAGCCTAATCCGAACTACCTACTCCGTGCCGCGTGTAGATGTGGGCACGGAGTCCGAACTACCGGGGCTTTAAAAATGGCGGCGCCCGGCAAGATGCAAATGAAGCCCGGGATATTTAAATCCTGGGCTTCATTTGCAACTTTGGTTGCCTACATTAACCACCCTAGTTCGAACTAGGATGGTAGTACAGACATACCCTAACTGGTTAACTGGTGGCCCATCTGAGCCCACTACAGGGTGGGAGGCTGCTTTAGTCTGGCCAGGCCCACCTGTGAGACCCCAGTTAACTGGTTAGTTAATCAGTTAAACATTTCATTTAACTGGTTAACTAATTAAACAGGATTTTACATCCCTAATCTAAAGTGCATTTTCCATGAAGAGGGCACCTTCACCCCCAGATACAAGGTGCTGAATTTACTGTGACCAGCCTGAGACAGCACATCCTCTGCTTAGTGCATTTCCCTTTTCTCTGTCTTTGTCTGAGGCCCTGGGGAAGACTGGCCACTGGCTCGAGAGCTTTTGCAGCCTGTCTGGGATTGGAACTGTCCATTTGTGGAGCTCTGATGGAGGAGAGCAGCTCCTTTTGATACTTGGGATGCACTTAGGGAGTCCTCTTTGTACTCCCTGAATCTTCCCACAAGTTGCCAATCTGGAGCTTTTTTTATTGTCTCAGCCTTCACGTGGGCAGCACATGGATTATTGGTCCGTTGCTTCCTACCCTGCTTTTGGTGTATAATTTTGCAGTGAGTTTGTCAATTCTTTATCTGCCCCACCAATCAACAGCTGCAGGTGCTCGTGTGCAAATGGTGATGACAGTTGCAGTGCTTAGTGTGCTGGAGACCTTTATTTAAAGCATCAAACTTTGACCATCATGCTACTATTGGTCATTCATTTCCCAGCTTATTGACTGTGACATGGTTCCCAGAATGCTGGAGAGGAGGGGGCGAGAGTCATAATGTACCTTCTAAAATGATTATCTTAGTCTCCCTTTCAGATTGTGGGTCTTGCTTGCTCCATGCTTCTTAGCAGGGGAAACCATTCCTCTGATCCCTTGTGGAAACGCACACAACGCCTGAAAGAGATCTGAATGCAATTTCCTCTGTGGTACCCCCCTGAATGTCCCCTGTAATAACTTCTGCAGCACAGACTGTACCTCCATCCCCATCAGAAACTGCACCCTCCCCCGGCTGATTATTTCTGCCCTTCATCGCAACAGAACCCTCTGCAGGTGCCTCCTCAGAACTGCAGGGGCCTAGCTCAAGACGTTTTGTTGGAGATATTCCGTTCCCATACAGGACGGGAGCTGGCTGCACTGGACCACAGTCCCAGACTTGCCTGGAACGCATCACTCTATGAACAAGGAGCAATGGGAGATGAACACATTCCCAGCAGTGAGATCAGCTTTCACTCTATCCAGCTCTCTGAGAACCTTTGCCCTTGTCCCTCTGGGGATTCCCACTCAGTAAATGGGTGTTTGTGCAGTCCTTGCTCGCCCCATGGCAACCCAGTAGGGGTATCACCATGCTAGTAACATGGCTGGAAGTGCACCAGGCCATGATTCATGTGATTGGAAACTACTTCTGAGGCTGGAGGAGGAGGAGCCTATGAATGGCAGAGCCTGCAGGATTCAGGCAGCCTGTCTGCACAGATGCAACATATTGGGTTTTTTTCCCTCTCTTTTAAATTTTGCAGCTCTTTTAAAATCATTCCTAGTGAAACAACTAGTTCTATATGGAGTCAGGAGAGGGACTAAAAGAAACCACACTCTGCTGTCTTAACTCTTTGCTTTCCTAAACAGTCTGCACTAACTCGCTCTAACAGCGCCCACTCTTAAATGTGTCTAGTCCGTCATGCCGTTGCATGCCGTGGGGCCCCACATAACCTCCAGTACTTGTGCACACCTGGGCCTAAGTTGGGCAACTGTTCTTCAGCAACACTGTATCTTTGAGACAGATCCTCTGAGCCTCCCTGGGCCAGGAATCTCTGCTTTTGGACTGGTACCATTGTTTGTATCGATCCAGATCTCCATTAACTCTGAAGGACCATCTGAGAGAGAGAGAGAGACACATGGATCACTGTTCGTAATGTTTCTGTTTTCATAATGTTCCTTCCCAACATTTAACCACATGTTGTAGTCGGAGGAGCACATTAGGGACTGTCAGAGTAACTTAGCTGGATGTGTGCCTCAGGAAATATTGTTTGCTTTACACAAAAGATGATGAACAATCAAAGCTAATAGACTTTGATATTTGACTTGGGCTGAGAATTCAAGCTTTCTTACGTGATCTTTATTCACCCTGGTCTGAATGAGCAGCCTGGAAATCCATTCTTCACTAGTTAGCAGCCCCGTTAGCTGCTCCTCTGACCAATTGGATCCTCTCTGTGACAGATATATGACTGCTTACCAATTCTTAGTGACATAGTATCTTCAGATTCAGGTTAAATTGGGGACATTGGTGTATCTAATAACCTACCCTTTGGGGGCACTGACGTGTGTGGAGAGAGTTGGATTCTCATGTTGATAGGGGTCTCATGGTCTGTCTCCATTGGTTACAAAGTAGCATTTCCTGTCCTCTTGCTAGGAGTTAGCAAAGGGAGTAGGAGAGGGGGAATGGGTTAGTACTCCCTCTGGCTCCACAGAGGATGTTACTCCTACATTTTTTTGCATTGTGATTCTGGTGCTTAACCATTACCCCACTTTCCTCACAGTGAAGGAAGGATCCTACATGACATTGTGGCTTTGCAGGTATTCCTGGGTTCTTTCATGGGGTTAACTGGGGTAATGTTAGCTTCAGCATGGAGAGCTAGTTGCAGGTTGAGCACCTTTGGAAGAAGAGATGGATGTGCTGACAGGTGACTTGTTGGTAGCCACAAGATATAGAGAAGAAGGGCAAAGTTCCATTCTGGCAGCCTGGTGTAAATTTGGGGTGACAGTGATGTAAAACTGGTGCAAGTGAGTGGAGAATCAGGCCTGGAACTATCTCTAAGTCATCTCCTCCCTCCTCTGTGGTCACTGCAGAAGCATTCATTATGGTCTGTCCTGTAGAGTTCCCCTTGTGTTCTGCATCCAGTATGTCCCACTTCATACTGGGAGCTGCATGTTTAATGTTTCCTGGGAGCTCCTTAATTCTAAGGAGCATTTTGCTTGTGGCTTTGATGTGGTGACTGTGCTTGCAATGGGGGGAATAAATCTAATCCTGCTTGCAGTGCAGAGCAATGAAGTACCACTGATTTTAAAAAGGGAAGAAGGAGAATATGGAGAACTTTTCCAGTCATCCTCACCTCAGTCCCTGGAAAAATCATGGAGAAGTTTCACAAGGAATCCATTGTGAAACACTTGGAGGAGAGGAAGGTGATCAGAAACAGTCAATATGTATTCACCGAGGGCAAGTCATGCCTGACCAACCTAATTGCCTTCTATAATGAGATAACTAGCTCTGTGGATATGGGGAAAGAGGTGGATGTGGTATACCTTGACTTTAGACAAGCTTTTGATAAGGCCTGAAGAAGGATGGATTGGATGCATGAACTATAAGGTGGATAAAAAGCTGACTGCATCATCGGGCTCAATGGGTAGTGATCAACGACTTGATGTCTAGTTGGCAGCTGGTATCAAGCGGAATGCCCCAGGGGTCAGTCCTGGGGACAGTTGTGTTCAACATCTTCAGTAATGATCTGGATGATGGGGTGGTTTGCACCTTCCAGAAGTTTGCAGATGACACTAAGCTGGGGGGAGAAGTAAATACTCTGGAGAGTAGGGTAAGGTCGAGAGTGACCTAGACAAGTGCAGAGTCCTGTGCTTAGGATAGAAGAATCCCAAGCACTGTTTCAGGTTAGGGACAGAATGGCAAAGCTGCAGTTCTGCAGAAAAGGATCTGGGGATTACAGCAGACAAGAAGCCGGATATGAGTCAATACTGTGCTCTTGTTGCCAAGAGGGCTAACAGTATATTGGGCTGCATTAGTAGGAACATTGTTTAGGGAAGTGATTATTCCCTTCTGTTTGGCATTGGTGAGGCCGCATCTGCAGTACTGCGTCAAATTTTGGGTCCCCCACTACAGAAAGCATGTGGACAAATTGGAGAGACCAGCAGAGGGCAATGAAAATGATTAGGGGGGCTGGAGCACATGAAGTATGAAGAGAGGCTGAAGGAACTGGGCTTATTTGGTCTCTGGAAGAGAATAAGGAGGGAAAGAACCTGATGGGAGGTTTCAAAGAGAATAGAGAGAAGCTGTTCTCAGTGATGGCAGATGACAGAGTGAGGAGCAATGGTCTCAACTTGCAGGGGGGAGGTCTAGGTTGGATATTAGGAAAAATTATTTCACTAAAAGGTTAATGAAGCACTGGAATGAGTTGCCTAGGGAGATGGTGGATTCTTCATCGAGTAGTGTCCCCAATGGGTGCTCCACTCGAGGTGCTGGGCTTGTCCCGGCACCGCAAACCGGAGGATCTTCAGTAGCAGTTGGCCCCCCACCGGACCGCGCATGCGCGACCACTGTTTCGCGCCTCTCAGCTGAGCGCGGTCCGGCTAGTCAGTTTCCTTTCAACTGTCCGCGGCCGCAGATGGAGTTACCCTAGGCTCCCCCTCCTCTCTGAGGAGTGAGAAAAATTAGTTAGTTTAGCCTTTTCTTCTGTTCTGTTATACATTGTTAATATTAGCATAGTGGTAGTTAGTAGTAGTTCTTAGTTTAAAAAAAAAAAAGTTTTTGCCTGTACTTGTCTGTCAAGTTTCAGGTCGCAATAAGGATGCCAGGATCATCTGGTTTTCAAAAGTGTACTGAGTGCCAAGATGCCATGCCGGTATCAGATGGACGCTCTCGCTGCATAAAATGTCTCGGGGACGGACATGTTCCCCTGAAGTGCAGTCACTGTGCCAAATTGACAGCTTGCGCCAGGAGGGATCGAGAGCTCTGACTTCAACAAAGCCCTCCAGGCTCCGGACACATCAGCCCCGCGCCCGGCTGGGCAGCTTGATGACCGGATGGCTCAGGACAGTCCCCGCAGCATGGCGAGCAGAGTAAGCAGCGGGGACAGACCAGGAACCTCTGGCCATTCGCCGAGGCTTCCTGCGGATAGAACGGGCAAGGGCCAAAGCTCCTCCATTCCTCTCAGAGCCCACCGCAAGGAACCGATTCCGGCACTGGTGGGGGGCTCCAGAGTGGAGTCGGTGCCAGCAAAGGATAAAACCGCCACTCTAAAACCACCGGCGGACGCCCCAGCACTGGTTTTTCCTGCGCATGCGCAGATGACTGTAGCCGCAGAAGCGGCTGTGCCGGCATCTTCCCCAGCTGTTGCTGCGGCTTCTCCCCCGGTGCCGGAGTCAGTGGCACCGGGATCGGCGCCGCAGGAGGGTGCCTCTGCCTCACATCCGGCGGCACCGGCGTTACCTGCACCGAACCTGCAGCCTACGGCACCGGGTCAGCTAATAAACAACCAGGCTGTGGGGATCGCTTCATCATCCCCTAGTCCCTTATACTCTGCACCGCTGCCTGCTTCCAACTCCGCGGTGCCGACAAAAGCACAACACAAGTCAGCGCAGCTCCGGACACCGTCTTTGACACTCGACCATGCAATGTTTTCACCGGGACTGGTGTCTCCTAGGTCATCTTACTCTGCGCATCATCATGCTCCTCATCATCATTATCATTACTCATCGGCCCCAGACTACTACTACCGGTCATCCCACCACTCACTGTCAAGCCGATATCGCCGAGAGCGGTTACTCCCGATCTCCTTCTCACTACTCCCAGAGATCTTTTTCTCCAGGGTCTCCAAGAACCCTAGAATGTTCTCGCCGTTATGACACTCGTGGAAGATACTCTTCCAGGCGTTCTCTGAGTCCATACCGCAGACATCATTACGACCGACGTTATTATGACCACCACTCTCCTCGGGATAGATGACGTCTCTGCTCGCGCTCACTGCGATACAGCCGGACTCTATCTCCACAGCCGCCAGTACAATCTTCATCTTTGGCTGCTCCCCCCGCTCCCGCGGAGGACTCAGCATCCGTCTATCAGGAGGATGACCACACACACCAGGACCATCAAAGCCTGGTTTCGCTGGCTCCCAACTCACCTTTATCACCTGATGATGCCGTGGTCCCTGGGGACTTGTCTCCTGCGGAGGACCATAGACAGTTCCAGGAGCTTTTCAAGAGGATAGCCCAGTCCCAAGAGATCCATACGACGGAAGTGCAACAAAAGCAGCA